TGTGTCCCAATTTGGAAATTATCAAGCTGGGTATTGGCATGGGACATGGTAGTTCCTTGTGTAGTTATTGATTGTTTGAGGAAAATGATAGGGTATATTGCCAAAAAAAAATAGAATTTGAAGGGAAAGTAATGATAACGACTATTGTGGGTGGGCATTTAGATAATTTGGCTGAGAGGGTAATTTTTGATACATGAAGGCTTTATGAGGCAATTGACATGTATATGTATATCACTATCTAGAAATTCTCATTTTGTGAATTTCGGAAATTAATTATCGATTAAATATTTAACCTATTCTCAAAATCAAATTTCGATATGTGATAAATAAATGAGATGATTAGTAAATTATTATCATTCATATCACATTATTTAATAATACGCTGAACCGAGCTGTAAATTTGTATCGGGCGTGAGACCCAGTCGATGGGCTCACATTTTGGATAGAAAAATCTGAAAAAAAATTCTATCTATTAAATAGATAATATTTACCGTATTAATTATCTCTACATCTAAATTTGTGACCATATATTTAATATCCTATCCGGATGGTATGATTCTTATTACGATGATTTTCTAAATTATTGAGATCGTATCAAGAGAAAAATCCAAATTTTATTGAGTGGAGAACCTATAGGTAAGTCTGACCCTTTAGACCTAAAACAAGTTCCTCTCCAAATAATTTTGAAATTCTCATCTCATTCCTTCTTCTAACTATCATATTCTTTTTATGTTCATCAGACATTTCGATAGTAGTGCTACTGCAAGAGGATATGAGTTGTTTTACCTTTGGGAGTGATATAGATACACTAGAACACTAATGACCATATTTCGCTCTATGGAAAGAGGTCTCCTTCGACTTGGCTTTCTCCTCCAACTATTTTCATTTTCACTCTAATTTTTCAACAAACATAGCAAAATATAGGTGATAATAAGCTCTAATTTTTCTAGGTATTGTATATCATCTTGCAAACTTATGTTTTTAACTCTAAATACTAGCTGACCAAGAGTGTAAAAACTCATAACATACTTGTAATGTAATGTATAATCTCATACAATACTTGTATATGCTCATGTCATTTGATTTTTATGCCTATAAATTTTGATACAAACTTGGCGAATAGTACAAATGATTTATATCCAGGTTCATGATTATGTATTTTCATAATGATATATATAAATTGATGTAAAACATTTCCATAAACATTTAAAAGCATTACATTTTACACAATTTGAGCACTTCATCAATTGTCTAAAGATAAAGTTTCTGTTGAAAGAGATTTTTAAGATGATTTTTTTTATTATTTATTCTATTTTAAAGGATTGATTTGATATTAGCTGATGTTTACGTAAAATTGGTAATAAATAGAGTTAAAATATATAACTGGTGTATACAACTATTTATAGATGCAAAATTTACATTACTATCATTATTTTCTTTGAATCAATCTATAAATGATAATATCTAATATTTGTCATTACGAGTATTCATCTTATTTTATCTATCAAATCCGAGGAAAAAAAAAAAAAGGGAAAAAAAAACACTTTCAATAGTAGAAAATAAAGTAGTTTTGGAACTATGGTGATGGTGGAATATTATACGAATATTCATATTGAAAATGTGTTTGTTTGTAAGATTTTGGATTTTAATAATTATGTGGAATGTAATGATTAATTTGCAAGAGAATAAGAGAGTGTTTATGTGATATATATAATAAATAATTACATTGAAATAAAAATAAAAATAAAAATAAAAATCATAAAAATATTAATATATTATATAAAATCATAATTTTAATTAAGGGTGTGCTTATTTAAAATTTGAATAATAAAAATTTTGAATTAGAATAATTATAGATGTGATATAAATATGTTTTGATGTGATATTTTGAATGTAAAAATAATTTTTAAAATAATTTAAAAAATAAAAAATAAATATTTGATTTAATATTTTTGGGAAAAAAAATTAGTGAATAATAGAATTTGCTAAAAAAAAAAAAAACTTTGAAACAAACACACCCTAAATATACATGAAAATATTTTTATAATAAAAAATTATATTTATAAGATTAAATAATATCCTCTCGATTCAATCAAATCTATACATATTTTTATTTTATTTTATTTTTGTATGCAAAATATACGGATGTATTTATTTTATGAAATAGTTTGAATACATATATATTTTTTAAGGTATAAAAAAATTGTATAATTAATATAAAAATAATTAATGATACATTAAAAAAAACTCAAAAAGACCACATCATATATTTTTTTATTAATAACAAATAATTTTTACATATATTTTAATATATACTCTTAAATTTTATATTTATTTACCAATATTATTACTATTTACACATTTAATTTTTCATAATTTTTTCGATCATATTAATTTACTTATATATTTTTAAAAATATTTATTATTTATATCGCAATTATGAGTAATAAAGAACACAAAATAGTTTTTACAAAAATAAAAAAAATAAAAAAATTCAAATACTTATTACAAAAAGTCAAAAAAATTTCAAATATTCATTACAAAAGAGTAAAAATTATATATTCAACTTAAAATATACATTTTGTATTTTTAACACAATTCTTTATACAACATACAAAATAAAATAATTTACCAATCTAGTCAATCGGTTCACTCAGCATTTATAAATCGAACAATTATTCGTAAATATTATTAAAAAAATATAAATATGCACACATATTAATAAAAAGATATATATTATTAACTCATAAAAATTCAACCATTCAACATAACATATTATTTTTTATATTACTAACACAATTTTTCATATCACACAAAAAATAATAATTCATCTACAAATGCTGAGTGAACAGAGTGAATATATACAAATAAATTACTCCTTTTATTTGATAATATTACTACATTCGTCCGACTCTAAGAGTTTCATTTACTTTTAACGTACACATTAAGAAAAAATTGTAAATGTAATTCCATTAGTGTTATATAATATCAATAGAAGGATATTTGTACAAAAAAATTATACAAATATAAATATATTTTTAATGTTAAATACAATATCGCAAAAAATAAATGTGACTTTAGAGTCGAATGAAAAGAGTATTATATATATACTACTCTCTCCGTCTCAATACAATAGTCTGTTTACTATTTTTATCCGTGCCAAAATAATAGTCTCATTTCCATAAATAATCATATCACCATAAAACTATCCATATTTTTTCGTTATTATTACACAATTGTCACTGCTCTTTACACTAATATACTCACAAGAGAAAAAAAGTCATTTATCCTTACTTTTTACCCACTACCAATATAATATAAATATTCTTTAAATCTCGTGCGCAACAATAAGATTATACTTTTGGGACGAGGAAGTAATATATAAATCAATCATAAATTTTATTTAAAATTATATATTTTATATTTTTATACATATCATCAAAAAAAAAAAAGAAAAATTAATCCATATTATTTCCCACATCTCATGTCCATATTTCCGTTTCTGCCGTCCCACTTATATTGTCATTTTTTAAAAAAAGAGAATTATATACTTTAATTTTATTTTAAAAGATTTTGTTTATAATTTTTTTAATTCTAATTATACTAATCAATTATTTTAATCTTATTCAGAATTATTTTTATTATACGATAATTATTTTCACTAATATATTTTGAATTATTTACTAATTATATTTCTCCTAAATTCTAATTTCCGTATCTACTATGAAACGGACAAAATATCGGAGACTGATGAAATAATATAGAGTATAATACTCTATTAATTATAAATAAATTAATAGATAAACCCACTCTAAAACAAACCCTATCCATCACACCCTATTGACACTCCTTAACTAATTCCACACCCGCCGCCCCTTCCCCATCTTTCTCCCCCTTCTTCATAAATCTTTCTTCTTCTTTTTTTTTTTTTTTTTTTTTTTTTTTTTAAATTTTGCTTCTTCTTTCTTTCTTTTCATTCCTGTTTTTCGCCGCCGGCTTTTTCACTGAGATGAAGGTCCGTCGCCATTATCCGGTCGAAACTCCGGTAAGTTTCGTTTCCTTAATTTGTTTTAGGGTGGGTTTATTTATTAATTTAATAATTAAATAATAGTATTATACTTTATATTAGTAGTACTTTTTATATATAATAATATTAAATAAAAAGAGTAATTTATTTGTATATAATTAATTTAATATATTAAATAATAATATAAAGTATGAATATTTTTTAAAAATATATAAATAAATTAATAAGATGAAAATTTATATGTTAAATTGAATGTGTAAATTATAAATAATATAATATTTAAGAATACATATTAAAAAATATTTATTATAAATTATTATAAATATTTACCTCCTTTTACAAATTAATCAATTACTAAAATTTAAATATTACAAATAAATTCATTTTAAAAGCTCAATCTCCCAAATCTTTCATAAGGATTTGTTTGCCAAATAAGTATTTTTCTTTTTCAAGTTTTTTTTTTGTAATATATCAAGGGTGTGTTTGTTTGGGGGTTTGGATTTTGAATTAGGATTTGAATAATTAAAATTTTGAATTTAAATAGTTGTATGATGTGATATAAATAGCTGTTGGCGTGATGTTTTGAATGTAAAATTGATTTTTAGTATAATATAAAAAATAAAAAATAAGTGTTTGATTTGATGTTTTTAGGAAAAAAAATGGGATGAACAGTAGAAATTAAATCCAATCCCCAAACAAACACACTTAAAAAATAATAGTATTTTATTAGTTAATGAATATGTTTAAAAATTTTTGTTTGCTTTAAGCGTGAAGTAATTGTTCATTTAATAGTTAAAATAATTTTAATGTGTAATATTTAAATAAAAATTAAAAATATTTTAATATTAGAGTATAATTATATTTTGTAAAATAATTTGAATATTAAATAATGTGATTAGAGAAAAATAATTATTTATTTTTTTATTTAAAATGAAATATATATATATATTATTAATTATATTTAAATTTAAAAATATTATAATTTTTTAAAAAAATAAAATAAATATTACCGTGAATTAAGGACAAACAAATACCCAATACCGTTTCCACCTCATAAAAAAATAAAAAAAAAGCGACAAACAAAAACAGCCTATATTACTACATCACCTTAAACCTAAGTACAGTGGCCGACCCATCCATCGTCTTCTCCTCCCCACCGACCCATCCATCCATCCATTGTCCTCTTCTCCCCAAATTCCCACCGCTGCACACCCCACCCACTTCTTGTTTCTTCTTCTTCCCCGTTCTTTTCCTTCTCTTCTTCGCGATTTCACCCCGCTGCTGTTGGAAGTAAGTTCGGTACCGGAACCTTCGTTTCGGAACGCCGGAGCAACTTTATCGTCCTCTTCCCTAACTTAGCTTTCTTCGATCGTCTTCATCTTCCTCTGCCCCGATTATCTGTCGTCTTCGTCATCCTCTCTCTGGTCCAAACAGTGAGCGGTGCTGTTGGTTTTTCAAAAAACGACGATCATGTCTCAAAGCAGTTGGATTTTCAAAAACGGTGCGGTTTTACCAGAGAAGGACACACCGGTTGCAGCTTTTCTAGAAGCTCGTCCAGGTACATTTCTAATATTAGGCCTGGGAACGAATGAATTAGGGTTTGGGTGACAGTGGTGGTGTATGTTGGATAGTTACAATTTAGCTTCTATATGTTGGAAAGCTATTTATTTATGGATTCCGATAATGAATTAGTTGTGACATTCAGGTGCTTATACAACTTTTCGGACAGTCACCTTTGGCAAGGGCCCATGTCTCATGTTATGGGAAAAGCATATGTGCAGGCTTTCAAATTCTTTCAAATTGCTGTTGAAAGAAAATCCTAATCTTTTATTTGGAAACACCGGCGGCCCTACGTCCCCAATTTGGAGATTCCCGACTGGGACAGTGGCGTGGGACTCGGTAGTTCCTTCTTTGGTTTATGATTGTTTGAAGAAAGCAATATGTTATCTTTCGAAAGAGAGGATTACTGAGGAACTGTCCATAACAACCCTTGTGGGTGGGCATTTTGAGAATCCGGATGAGATGAGGGTTATTTTGGAAGAAGGAAGGATTTGTGAGGCAATTGATGTGTATATGCATATAGGACAATATGCTCCGGTTAGAGAGGATCCTGCACGTTTGGCTGTGGTGGGTCGACGCAGGGAATATGCTGAAGCAAAGTATTCAGATTGGGTCAGGTAAGATATCATATTGTTTGTTTATTCTTATCTAATGTTTTTGGGATTTGAGTTATTAACTGAAATGATCAATTCGTTAGCTTGAACAGCTACACTTCCTTGACTCAATTAAACCATTCGAATTGTGGTGTCAATAGTATTCAATCACTAATGGAGTTGAGCAGGTCGATTCAATCTACTTAATGCACGCTTCGAACCTACTAGTTAATACAATTCACAGGAGAGAAGCCAAAAGTTGGTATCTTTCGTTTCTTCTCTCTATCTGTATGTTATATTAGCTATGAACTCAATATATACCTTTTACCTACATTTACTGAACAAATACAAATAACTTTTGATTGAGAATATGAATAGTTGAAATTAAAATGTTCAGTATGGATATCATATAGAATTTTATAAAAATTTAAAATATACAATTTCTTTTTTTTTTTCTTTTTTTTTTTCGAAAGATAGAAATACTATTAAAATATGAGAGTGGAAAATGGAAGAATCTCTCGCCCTGAGGTGCAGACTGTGCTTTTGTTAAAAACTAGTGGGTATTATAGGAATTTCTAGCATGAGTTTCATTTGTTTGGTATATACTAGTTTGAACTTAAACTTGATCTTGAGCAATTAATATCCAATTATTAGATTAGTTTTGAATGCTTTTTAGACTGATTTAGTTGACTCGAAGATGGCTTGTTATAAACACGTGTAATATCTAATTGTTAGATTAGTTTTTAATGCTTTTTAGACTCGTTTAGTTGACTCGAAGATGGCTTGTTATGAACACGTGTAATATCCAATTATTAGATTGGTTTTGAATGCTTTTTAGACTCGTTTAGTTGACTCGAAGATGGCTTGTTATGAACACGTGTAATATCCAATTATTAGATTGGTTTTGAATGCTTTTTAGACTCGTTTAGTTGACTCGAAGATGGCTTGTTATGAACACGTGTAATATCCAATTATTAGATTGGTTTTGAATGCTTTTTAGACTCGTTTAGTTGACTTGAAGATGGCTTGTTATGAACACGTGTAATATCCAATTGTTAGATTAGTTTTGAATGCTTTTTAGACTCGTTTAGTTGACTCGAAGATGGCTTGTTATAAACACGTGTAATATCCAATTATTAGATTAGTTTTGAATGCTTTTTAGATTCGTTTAGTTGACTCGAAGATGCTTGTTATAAACACGTGTTGCATGTGAGAACCCAAAAATCAATTCAACCAAATTTGATTAACGATGGTGTTTCAGTTTGTGCGACCTGAATTATCATAATTCAGGAAGATAATAACTATTATGTGGCACTCTCTAGCTAGATAATAACTATTTCATAGGTTTTAGATTGGTGCTTGTAGTTTATTTGCGCATATCTCCACTGTTTGATAATGCTAGTGACTCTAGGGTAAGGAAGCGTCTGGAGAAGCTGAGGCCACCTTCTTTTACTGAACTTCTATTGTCCGAAGATGGCGAACACATTTTAGAAGGCTGCGTGTCGAACTTTTTCGTTGTTTCTTGGAAGGTGAGGATACTTGTGAAAATTCCCTTTGTTGAATGCTGTCGTTCTTTGCTAGAGTTATCGTGCCATTAGTAAGTACATTCAGGATGTGATTTTGAATTACATGAGTTATTTAGTCAATCAAATCTAAATTGACTTTGGTCGGTTTTTTTAAAATTATTTGCTAACTTGTTTTTATTGTTGATGGTTTAGCATCACGGGTATATTTAATTGACTCTAATAGTCAAGAATCAAGATTGAATTGAAATGTGGGTTATGTCTGTTGGAAACCATAAACTTTAATAAATTGGCGACACCATGGTGTCTTGATGCTTTCTAGGAAACACTAAGACTCGTCAGCTCGCCTCATTAAACAAGGCGACGTGGCGACGCCTTGGCGACACTACGGTGACGCCATGGCAATGCCATGTCACTGTCCAGGCTAACCCATAATGTTGATAGTCTCTAGCCCAACCCCTAGCCCTGGTAAGCCCAAGCCCCAAACCACACCTACCTGAGCCCCTAAACCCTTGAGCCCGATCAAATCCTAACTTGTCATCCTTTCTCTCTTCTCTACTCTCTCTTCCCTGCTCTCTCCTGGTCTTGCTGCTGCTGTCCGCCACTTTGTCTAGCCACTTCATCCCACTGTCGGTGTATTTATTCATGGATTTAGGCTTTAACTATTTTTCATCTTGTAATCTGCTTTAGTGCCCCTGATTCCACACTAAACTGGTGTTATTTTTTTATTTATTTAGTCTTAGGATGCCGGTTAGTTTAAAGGATAGTAGTATAATCCCTAGGATTATTCAAATAGATTCAATAATTAATGGATTAATTAATATAATAATGACTTCATTTTATTAAATATTGGATAAAGTTATGTTATGTTTATTTTTTTTTATCATGTGATACGATTATTCGTTTTGTTCAAAATACCCTTCGTAGTCTTATTTTATACATTTATATTGGAGTGTAATGTATTTTATACAATTTTCTTTCTAAATAAAGCAATATGATATATAACAATAAATTAAAATATAATTATAATATTATTATGGCATATATATAATTTGATATAGTTTTTTTTTTTTTTTATTTTTTATTATTATTCATTATATAAAAATTAATTTTAAGATATATTTTATATCTTATTCTCGCCGCCTTATATTTCATTATTTAAAAATATTAAAAGAAATCAAAATAAATTTCAAATAACTATTAAACAAAAAGATTGTTATTTATTTATATAAAATGATTCTAATATTTTTTTCACTATAACATTTATTTTAAAAAATTATTACAATTTGGACATTTTAAGGAAGGGAAGGGAAGGACAATTTGGACATTTTATTGATAGGATAAAATAATAGTAGCTTTTTGGACTGTATTATAATTCCTATAAGTGGCTACTATTATATCAGGCCTATAACTATACCGGACCCAAATACCTTAATGAAACATTGGATTAGTGTATTACATTATTGTTTATTGTATAGTTCTTTATTACTAGAAATCTGATTATTTAATACTTATAAGATATGATATATAAAGTTCTAAATATTCATACACAGTGAGCTGTGTTCGCCATTATGTCCCCATGGTTGTATGGTTGTCCACAGGAGATCCTCTAGAAGGTGTATGAGGGTTATGGCTGTTGGCAACCATAAACTTGAATAAATAGGTGATCCTCTAGAAGGTATACGAGGGGAGAAGAATAATTAGAAAATTTGTCAAATGTATAAAAGTATTTCACTTGTAAACCAAAATATTATAGTTAGCAATAGTTCAAGAGTGTGAGTGAGTAAGAAATTTTGTCAAATGTATTCACAAGCAATAAGATTTCCTTGTTCCATTTTGTGTCGCTTTGTAAACAACAATGGCTTACTTACGAGAGGTGGTGGTATAATGGGGAAAAAGGAAAATTTTCTAACCTTAGGAATGCTTATTATCAAAATGTTGGTAGGTATTGGTGTATTGACTTGTAGGGGTTTCATTTTTTGAAAGATTCATCAAGTTCGGTTCTAAGGAGGTTTGAATATGGTCAAAATTGTTTGCCAATCTGGTCTTTCTATTTCTTGAAGGTTCTTTTGGACTTTGCTATTGAATGTCACGCAACTTATGTTAATACAGAAGTTTTATGCTCTCACAGGAATTCAATACACAAGCTTTCACATGCATTAACCTACATAAATTTGATAATTTACGTAATGAATAAGGATCATTGGGTTACTATGGTCTTCATTTACTTAGCTGCATAGTTACTATGGTGGTGCTTCATTTGGCTGCATAGTAAACAAGGAATTGAGTTAAGTTTCTTTTAAACTTGATTATTATGAGTTTGCTACACTAATTAAGTGAGTTAATCATTTGTCTAAATTGTGTGTTTATAAATTAAGTGAAAAAGAGAATCCAATTATGCATCCCCCTTCTTTTTTAATCTGTTTTGAAGCGAAAGCGTTTCACTACCTAAAATAACGTTCACCTATAAGTCAAATCATTTGGTACACAATCTACTCCCGGTCATAAAAAATACGCCCACTTTCTTTATTTGTTTGTCATAAAAAAATAGGCCTGGCCTTTTTCTTTGTTTTTATAGCATAATATCATACTACGGTTTACTATTTTAATTATTTCTCTATTTTTTCTATTATATAAGGCAAAAAGTACACACCATATTAAAACCTGTGTCCAAACCAAATGAGCCTATTTTTACATGACAGAGGGAGTATCATTTTCCTTCTGGTCTCCTAGATGGTGTGTTCTCCCGCTATTTTGAGCTTGAGCATTGTTGTCATTATTTGTTGAAGACCTTTCTGTAAAAGCATATTTTAGTACTTCCACGTTCTGCTTCCAATTTATGATTGAAAAACTTATGATGTCCAGTATCTTGAAAGTGTGTTTGTTTTTGTTCTAATATAAAGCTTTATCATGCATAACATATATTTGATAGGCATATGTGGTCTTTGTACTATACTGTACTTAATAAGTTGAGATGTTTCTTGAAATTATGGCTTCAGGAGGAAGAATACGATGCTGGGAAACGTAATTTGCCAGACTTTCTATCTTTTGAAGTTCAGACAGCACCTGTAAAAGATGGTGTCCTTCCAGGAATAATACGCCAAGAGATAAAAGAGTAAGTTCGTTCCTTCTGAGAAACATTCTCTATTCCTCGCAGCCTTTAAACATACGTGGTCGCATCTTTTTCATCAATCACTCTTGTATTTATGTATGTATATATTTAAAATGTCCACAAACATGCTGAGAATTCATATATGGCATATAAACACATGGATTATGAAGATATGGTTGTTGTGAACAGAAAGTCTTGTTAGAGAAAATCGTTGTTGTTCACAATTCTAAACCCATGCAGAGCATGCGTGAGACTCGGCATACTTTTTCGGGAAGTTGCACCTTTATGGTCAAAGCGTGAACTGTGGGCAGAAGCATTCGTCACAAGTAAGTCTGTTTGTGGGATCATAACTTTTGGCAGTCGCATAATTACACAGAATTCCATGACTTCCAGCTGTGCTATTTATTGCAACTTCTAATTTTAATTGTGTAACTTTTTCTTTTACTTCATGATGGTTTGCTGTAGATTGCCATTGCAGATGATGTCTTGAAATGTTCTTATCTCCTTTTAGAGATGCCTCGGTTTTTTATTCTGTAACTGCTTTTAGGAATGCAGCTGTCGGCCATCAAGTGCACCCTTGCATTATTATGATATTGATTTGTAAAACATTATCAGAAAATGAAAAGATTATGCAGAAATATGCTGATTTTTGCTCCATTTACAGATAGTCTTAAGGTTGTACAGCCTGTAGAGGTGGTCCGAGTTCCTTATGTTCCGTGGAAATTAGTAAAATCCAATAGCTGGGACCGTATACCGTGGGTGGAGAAACGATTTGAGGTATGTGAATTTCTGGAGGCTTGGAATTAATCTTCTAGTTGTATTGAAAAGATCTGATTTCTGTTGATGTCTCTAACTTTGAAACTAGGCTGGTGGTGGGGAGGTCACATCAGCATTAAAGGTAAACAGATTGCTTTGTCTACTTTTGCCTCCTATGTGCTAAGTAATTATTGTACTGAAATATGATGCGTTAATCGTAATGCAATCTTAAGAAGTATGGTATGTAGCTGTCGGCTTTGAGGTTAATGATAAATTGTGGTCTATAGTTTTCTGAAGCATTGGAATAGGGTGGCTATTGGGCTGGTAAACGAGCCGAGCGAACTTGAGTATCTATTGTCCGAACTCGATTTGAATTTGTTAGCAGTATAGGTTCGACTCTTAACTTTTTAAAAATTCGAGCTAAAATAGTGGTTTGCGCGCAGCTCGTTAAGCTCAAATTCAAGCTTGAGTTCGACTCGAATTTTATACATATCATTTATATTTTTTTAATATACAAATTTAAAATATATATATAGTTTTATTCATAATCTGTTATAATAAAATATTCAAATTTTATTAATAAATACAAAATTTGATATAAAAAATTATAATATGTAAATATATTATCACTAACAAGAGTTCAGTTAAGCTATCTGCAACCCAAGCTTGAGCTTGGCTTGTTTATAGAAATAATAATTTTCAAGATTGAGCTCGGCTCGTTTATTTGTATAAATAAGTCGAGTCAAGCTATTAATAAGTCGGATCAAATTTGGCTCTCGAGTTCTTCGGTTCATTTAACAGCTTTAGAGGGCCATTGGTAAGTTGCTCAATTTCCTTACGTTAAATGTCGAATTGCTCGCTCAATTAATTTCCTTTTGTTGGGTGGCAGATCGACGTTTATAAAGCAGCGTTTGCAGAGGCGCTCCCCATTTCTTCATTTGAGGAGGATTGATGCTCGGTCGATCAACTGATTACCAACGGCAAGACTGGTTATATTGATGTTTGAAAGAAATGAATGACTGGTGATGAACGCCATTTTAAAGGTGTTGGTTGTGAATTATTACTATTACCTTTACTATTATGCCGTTGCCATGAATTGAATCTCGAATATATATATATATATATTAGTATGATGGTGGATTTTATACTTGAATTGATTTTCATTTGGTTGGATGACAATTTTGGTGGAAAAACTCGTTTTGAATCGATGCAGGAAGGGTCGAGGTGCGCAAAACTAATGCAATCCTCTTCTTGCGTCAGGTACAGTATTTCGAAAAAAATATAAATATTTTCGGTATTCCTTAGGTAAATTTGTACTTTGATGATCCTTTGAGTTCATTTCTAATATCTGGCCTATTTTAAAGGATAAATTGTAATTTGTTTATTTTATTTTTTTACACCACACATATTCACCCGGAATCAAACTCGGGAATATGTCTCACTATTTGATCTATAACGATTTTGACTGGAATTTATTAAGTTTTGGCATCACCGGAGAAGCTTTTACTTGTACAGATGTTTTTGGTTTTAAATTTTAATCAAAATAATTGGTATTTGATTCGTGTAGTTTGTTATAAAAATATATTCCCTCTTTTCTGTTCTAAGGTATATATATATATATATATTTACTTTTGACGAAAAATGGTTCAGTGCTTGTAAAGTAGTGATATTGAGAAAAAGAAATTTATGTGTTTGGGACGAACGGAAATAGATATATATATATATATATGGCAAAGCCACAAGGAAGGAGTATTATTTTTTAAAAATATTTGAATTAAAATTTAGATGAAAAATACAAACTAAAACTAATGGGGGGTGTGGATTTGGTTTGAAATCAAAATGGTTATAAGATTTTTAATAGAAACCAATATAGTTTTTTCAATATATCGAAATATTATTCAAATGAAAATTAAATAAATAAAAAAAATGTATAAAGAAACAAAACCAAACCCGAGGATTTATGTTCTGCTTTCATTCTTCAGTTTTATGGATTGATATATTCTGTGTGAAATTTTATGTAGAATGTTTGTATTATTATTGTGGTATTTATTTAAATTCTATAACTTGATTTTTCTCTTTTGTTTTGTTTACTCAATATATATATATATATTTTTTAAGAGTAATATCATTTTCTATAAATATAATAAGAGTAATATGATTTTCTATAAATATTAGAAAAATATAATATATATATATACACACACGTATATTAACATAATATATATTCTATTTATTTACCGACATTGAAAAATACAAAAGTGAACAAATAGTTTGTTTATTTCTGTGTTTTTTTTTTTTTTTTTTTCTTCGTTGCCTTTCGTTTGAACCTATGATTTTACACTCACCACGCCACCAGGTTATTTCTTACTGAACTTGTTTATTTCAGTATTTGTTTGCTAGATTGGTAGATTATTTATTATTCTAAAAAAATTCAAAAATTAAATTAAATATATATTTTTTATTTTTTTATATTATACTAAAAAATTATTTTATATTCAAAATATTACGACTTTATCTATCAAAAAAATATTTTAATATAAAAAAAATTATTATTAAAAATCAAAACTTACGGTTATTTTTTCAACCAATTTTATGTTGGACACGATCTTCAATATATAATATTTATATTTTATTATATCACCAAAGTCAATAATTCACTACAAATATTATTTTATATATTATCAATATAATTTTTTTATGTTTTGTATAAAAGAATTTCAAATCAAAATTTTAAAATTTTATTATTTAGATTTTGAATTTCGTGTGAAGATTTATGTTTTTTGTGAACTTACAACATATTTTATTATTCAAAATCATTTTCCCTTTGAAAATAACTAATCAAATAATTATAGTTATTTTTATATTATATTACAAATATTTATTACATTCAATCAAACAATTATGATTTTTTTATATTATATTTAAAATATTATATCAATATTTATTTATAGAAAAAAAAAATTTGGTTTTAATATAAATAAAATTATCAATTTTGGTCATAATATAAAAAAAACTTATCAATGTTAGTCCATTATAAACAATTTTAATCAATTTTTGTCCGGTTAAAAAATTTACGGAAATTCCTGGCGTGGATGTAACGGGATTGACGTGGTAGCTGATCTGGAAACTATACGACCATATACAATTATACACAGTCATGTTGTCATACGGTCATATTTAATTCTACACACCCGTGTACCTTTCTATTTTTGTTATAATTTATTTTAAAAAATTATTTTAAATTTAAAATAGTTGATATAGTTAAAATAGAAAAAAATCAATAATAATCCTAATTTAATTAAAATGTATCATTTTAGTTCAAATATAAAAATTTATAAGTATGTTCTTTTATAAGATTTTCCTAAAATTCTACTATTTACCAAAATATTTCCTCTTAAAACTATTCAATTGCACAATTATTTTTTATTTTTGCATATTATAGTAATTAAGTTTACATTTCAATACAAATTATATATATCTACGTTGAAATTTTAATAAAATATAAAATAATTTTCAATATAACATAAAAAAATAAAAAATAGTTATGTAATTGAATGTTTGTAAAAGAAATTTTTTTTTATGAATATTAGAATTTTAAGTAAAATCTTCCAAAAGAAAATGTCCTATAAATTTTTTTTTATATTTGAATTAAAATTGATACATTTTAATTATATTATAATTACGGTTGATTTTTTTAATTTTAACTATATCAACTATTCTAAATTCAAAATTTTTTTTTTAAAAAAAAAAATTTTAAACCAAAATAGAAAAGTATACGGCCGTGTAGAATTAAACATGACCATGTATAATTGTATAATGAATTATACATGGCCGCATGACAACATAGCCATGTAGTTTCCAAGTCGGCTGCCACATCAACCCCGTTACGTCAACGTGAGCAATTTCCGTTAGTTTTTTTTTTAACAGTGTAACCAAAATTGATTGAAATTGTTTATAATAAGACTCAAATTGATGAGTTTTTTTTTTTTATATTATGAGCAAAATTGATAAATTTTGGTTATATTGAACGTGCCGAAAACTAACACGCCCTGCGCCCAGGCCAAAGGCCAAAAAATGTGCTAAATAAAGATATGCACAAAGACATATGTCGTTGATAAGCCGTACAGGACAAAGACTTGCACACATGCGACGGAATATGGCCAAGAACCTGGGGCAGAAATGTCAGTCCATGACATTCCCCCTCCAAGTCGCAAACACTCTCGTGCGACGCCACCTGAGTGCACCGACGTTGTTTCTTGTACATTCGGCATGCTTCCAGGCGTCACTCCATTGACCCTTTTGTGCGCACCACTTTTTGTGCTTACCAAGCGCCAGTGAGATTTTCCATAACCGGTCCACAACTCGCCCACTCCGCCGCTCGTCTCCGTACACTATTCGGGACACCCATGTTGCGGCTTTTGCATTTTTCGCCCGAAGATTGTCCCTAATGTGGCTCCTCCCTCACGAACAAAGCTTGCCCGTCTTGGCATACTAGCATGGTCGAGCATACTCCCTTTCTCTAAGGAGCACTCCACTTTGGAACGTCCAACCTCACTTAAGATATGTCTTTCCTTGACATGCCCTCAGCATGCTTTCTTTCGGAGAACTACTGACCCGTCCGCTTCGTTCGTCACCAACGTCAAAGTCGACTCTAATACCATTTGTAATGTACCGGAAGCTGACACGCCCGACGCTCAGACCAAAGGTCTAAACCAGCCGTCCCTTATGCGCAACAAGCTTAGGCATACCATATAATGTGAGTGAAATATGCGGAACAAGTACATGCACAAAGACATATGCCGTTAATTAGCTATACAGTACAAAGGCTTGCACATATAGGACGGACTATGACCAAGAACCTGAAGCAGAAATGTCAGTTCGTGACAATAGGATACGCTGTTTGTTTTATAGGCGGGATGCACCTAGATAATTTAATTCGATGGTCAAGTCAGGTCATGTCTGTGCCATATATTGCTATCTAATTAAGGGTTTAATTAATACTAACTCTAGTTTTTTTTCAAAAAACAAACCCCTCTGTTTATTTAGAAAAGTTTTTCTTTTTAACAGGCAAAGTAACAAAATCCACAAGTGATCTATAAAAATTGAGCAAAAATTTCTATTATTTAGACATTGCATCATAATTGCTAAAGTAATTCAAAAACTCCATAGCGAAAAATATTATCAATAACTAATGGCGAAAAAAGACCATCGCAACCAATAAGCAAAAAAAAAAAAAAAAACCGTAAGAGCTGTGGAAAGCATATATATTCAAATACAAACAAACAATGTACAATACAAGAATAACAACAGAGTTTATTGATGAAACTACAACACAACACAACACAAAACAGCCAATATTCTTACTCATCAAATGAAAACACAACATTATTCTTCTTGGCAAAGCTATGAGTTGTATGATCCACAACCTGCACCAAACAAACAAATATGTAACTTTAAATCATCCTTTTCTTCTCTAATGGAAACTTTAGAACACTCACATTGGTATTGCTCAGTTCCAGGTTGTAAAAGTCCATCGCTTTGGCGACAAACAATGGCCCCGCGTGCCATGTCCCCCGGTGAAGCTTCAGAAACTTGGGACCCGACACTCTGAAAACCTGCACTTCATCGACGACTGGAGGGGAGTAGTAATGCCCGCAGTGGGATTCCACTGCATTCGCTGCCTTCCCTTCAGTTGGATCTATGATGGATGGCTTTGCAACTCCAAGATACCATGTGTGGCCGCCGATTGAACCTAGGCATTGGGTCACACTGGCGTGGTGCGTGATGGTTGAAAACTTGAGAGGCCTGTTTTCGATATGCATGATGTAGAACCTGATCGAGTTGAAGTTCAGCAATGTTAGGAGTCGATCCTATAAAAAGTTTAAGCTAATTACCACTTAATAGATAACAATGCACAATTGGAGTTCTTTGCCATCAAAACTTTTTGCACAAAACACAATTTGAAAAAAATCTCCAGTTCTAATATTTAGTCTACTGAGTTATGTCTATGATTGTGTATTTAATCTTGTTTTCACACTATATAAATACCTTTTCCCTAAATGTGTTTTAAACTTATGTTCCACATCATATGTAAATATTCTATTTTTCCGACATATGTTTTAGGGTTTGGGGTTTGAATATAGTAAAATTTTAAATTGAAATAATATTTTATGTAATATAAATAGGCATGCAATGCGATGTTTTGAATAAAAATTTAGATTTTTTTTTTTTTTTTTTTTGTGTTTGTGCTCGTGTAATATACTAAGGGTGTGTTTGTTTGGAATTTGAATAGTAAAAATTTTGAATTGGAATAGTGGCATGATGTAATATAAAGGGTTTAGGGATATATAAACGGGGGATTGATGTGATATTTTGAATATAAAATTGATTTTTAGTATAATATAAAAAATAGAAAATAAGTATTTGATTTAATGTTTTTTTGGAGAAAAAAATTTAGTAAATAGTAGAAATCCTACAAAATCTTTCAAACAAACACACCCTAAGTGAAAATTGAGTGTTGAATTGATGGTTTTAGGGAAAAAATAGTTGTCCGTAATGTTTTGTATGAAGGAGGAATGCTGAATTTGATGTTTTTAGAGTAACATTAAAAGATTGACTGTAAATATATATACATATATATTGAAAGAGAATAAAGCCAATTTTTTGCAAGAATATTAGGTAAAACACATTGAGTCTAGGAGCTTAGTTTTAATTTTTTCGCCATTCAACTCTAGGCCCAACAAGGCCGAACCTAATAGCCTACAAACTAGGTTCGATAAAGAAAGTTACACTAGGCGAACCATGTGTAGCAGACAAGACATGTATCTGAATCGTCATCCCTTACGGGACTTATAAAAAAAAGACAAGAATTTTCTCATACAAACATTGCATCTAACTCATTGTTCAAAACTAATACCCAAAACCAAAACAGAAAACCAAACCCAGGTAAACAAACCCAAAGTAACACCACATGCAAATTAAATTTGATGTACCAAGTTTCAACTTTGGCACTATTCAACTTTTTAAGAACATCACACTCTATACATTTTTCTCTCACAAAACTTTAGATTAAATACTATTTTTTTTTTACAATTTTCAAAATTTCAAAACTCCAAAAATCTGTCTAAATGGAGCCTTCGAGTATTTTTATTCAATTTCTCAATTTTCTTATAAAGAGATCACATCGAACATCTATTTTCCTTTTATTGATAAATGATAACACCACAATTAACAATAATTTAATTTGAAAAACATGAAAAATAAAAACACAAACACTAAAAATACTGTTTGTATGATTTTTATTTTTTTTAATTGTGCAATCTTTTAATTTCCGTCAAAAGACACCTCATCCAATATTCATTTTTCATATGAACATCACATTCAAATTTCATTTAAGATACATTAAAACTCAAAACACAGACACAAAAAATACCCCAAAACACACACACTTTCATTTTAAAATTTACATCATTTTTTTTTTCCATTGAAGAAAAATCAATAAAAGATTAAGAGTGCGCTCTTTGGAGTTTGATTTCAATCTTTTTACTGAAAACTCATCAAGACTTCCATACAGAACAATTAAAAAAAAAACTCCAAAAGAACACACCCTCAAGAACATCAAGAACTAAAGAAGTATTCGAGCCTAAAGCTGTATGTACTTGAAGTTTGTTTCGATCTCTCTTTACCATGCCATCCTCACGATCCTCTATTAAAGCATATTATTTTCTCTTTCAAAGCATCATGTCAAAACTACTACTCCAAAATATACAAAATTAAATTTCCAAGTAAACAAACCCTTACCATTATCATAACAAAATACTACTCAAAATAACTATTTAAGCTAATGTGTTTGTTTGAAGGATTTGGAAAGATTTACACTATTCATAACATCACATCACTACTTATTTATATCACATCATACCACTATTCAAATTCAAAAATTTTACTATTCAAATCCCAACTCAAAATCCAAACCCCCAGACAAACACACCCTTTTTTTTTTTTTAATATTAAGCTAAAGCACAAATAAGGGCACACACTAATCGAATCTATTGTTGCACCTTTAATTTAATCCAATTTCTTCCTTATTTAGTTTAGGGCAAGAGCTCAAACAGGACCCATCAGTTTAAGACATGAATTCATAGTTTAGTGACCAAAATTAATTTACTAATATAACAGGATTGCAATCGTCATATGCACAAAAGACCTAAAACAGAATTACAGAAATTAATATGTATGACTGACTGAATATATGATAGGATAAGAGAGAGAGAAAGGGAAGACCTAGGGATGCCGCGGGAGAGGTCGAGCTGAGCGTCGGCGGGGCCGAACTCGTCCCCGTCGGGTGAGGCCTCGATTACCTGCCCGAATTCCTTGAAGGTCTCCGGAGTGGCGTCGATAGGGTTCAGATTAATCACCGCCGGAGAAGACCGCACCGTCGCCTCGCCAGTAGCCATTGGGGATGAATACGACAACAAGGCAGGGCTATATGCGATTCGGCGGGAGTGGAATTGGATCGAACAGAGTCGGGAAGGAGGAGGATTGATGGCGCCGGAGAAAGAGGATTTAGGCGTCTGATACTGATGGAGGATTGCGGGTGCCGCCCTCAACAACATGTAGCCTGCCGTGCAGGGATTTCTTCGCACACCATTTTTTTACTTACATAATTTTAAATTGTGATTCCGTCCAAGATGATATCCCGATAAATAAATAATTTATTTGTCACGTAAAAATACATTCATTTTCTTTTCTAATATATATTCTTGCCGCCTTGAAAAAATATATATATTTTTTTTAATATATTCATTTATCCAACGAAAAAATATATTTTTCTATTATACTAAAAACAATTACATACAAATATAAAAATAATATTATTTAATTTTTACCGCAGATTAAAAATATATCATTACACGTAAAAGTACAAAAAGAAAATATCAAAATGATGCTAAATATTTTTATTCATCAATAAAATATTATTATTTTTTAATTTATTACAAAATAATAAAAAAAAAACCCTTTTAAATTGGACATACGAGAGTATAAAAAAAATAAGCATATTTTTACACAACGAAACAAGTACCCCTTCATCCCATATAAAAATCAACCTTTGAATTTCGGGCACAAAGATTTAGGTGAATAGAATAAAGTGAAAATGAGGTGATATGCTAAGTGAAAAAAATATATATGTATTTTTTTTACTTGAATAATATAATAGAATAAAGTGTGTTAACTATTTAATGTTTTAAAAATATTGTAAAGTATATAAGAAAAATAAAAAATATTGAAAAATATGGGGAAAGGGAGAAGGATAAAAATGTTAACATTAATTAATAATTGGGTGTGAAATATATGAATAAATAGAAACAAATTATTTAAATGAGACCATTTTAAATAGTACTGATTGAAATTTCACATAAAAATTAAAATAAATAAATAGCCTCAAACAAATATTTTGTGTTCCAAAATCCAAATGAATGCTGGTTTGCAGGGTATTGGGTCCGACCAGGGGTTTATCGCGTGCGCACTTTCGAGTAGTAGCGGCTGCGGGTTCCTATGTCATCCAAAAAATATCCAAATGAATGAAATAAATGCCGATTTGGATTTTTAGACTACTACTATCGTTAGAGGTATTATTGATTGGAGAATTTTGGTTTTTTTTTATTATTTATTTTAAAATGTTATATTAAATTTTATTTTATTTTATTTTATTTTTATATTATATAAAAAATTAATTTAAATTTTAAACATTACATTAATTTTATTTATATTATATTATACAATTATTTAAAATTCAAAAGCTTTGTTTAGAGAAACCTCAAGAAATTTGAAATTTTAAAAAAGTTAAATTATATAATATCTCCTTATATTTTAATAAAAATACACAAAATATTATATATTTTATTTATTGTGTGAAAGTCTTTTGTATTAATGTAAAGTTTGCACGATGTATCTTCTTATCCACAATTGATCTTTGGTTATAAATAAAAATTTAAGCAATTTTTATATAAATAAAAAAATAGAATATCGTAAATAATTTTTTTAATAAAATAAAGAAATAAATAATTGATTAATCCTTTATTTTATAATTTTTTTTAAAAAAAATTGTTATATAATTTTTATAAAAAATTATAAAAATAAATAATTGATCAATTATTTATTTTATTTAAAAAAATTATTTAAAATATTTTTTATTTTTTAATGTATAACACTTGCATAATTTAGTTCTTTATTTAGAATCAAACATCATCAAATTTGACATTAATGTGAGTTTAATGTAATAAATTAAATATGAGATGTTTTTGTACATTTTTACTATTGTTATATAATTTATTAGTCTTTTGAAGATTTTGAAATAGTGGAAACTAAATAACTTATATAGTATTTTTTTGAAAGAAAAAAAATATATTTTTAGTGTAATATTTTATAAAATATTTGAAGAGTAAATAATGGCAAATTGAATTTATTATGGAAAGAAAGCTTAAATACACCCAAGTCCCTATGTACATACATACCTTGTATTTATGCCCGATTTTTGGAAATAGGCTGATTCCATTCCATTTCGAATTATGAGTGGACGCCGCCGCCGCCGATCCTCCATCTCATTCTCTGCCGGCGGAAGCCTGCCCCTGCCCGAAGAAGTCCTCGCCGAAATCCTCGCAAGGCTGCCCGTCAAGTCCCTCCTCAGATTCCGCTGCGTTTCCAAATCATGGCGCTCTCTCATCTCCAGCCCCCACTTCATCGCAGCCCATCTCTCTCTCTCTCTCTCACTCTCTCTCTCATGCCCTCGCCACCACCTCATCTCCACCATTCTCCTGCCCTCCTACACCCTCAAACACTGCCCCTTGCCTCCCTTGCTCTCCGGACACCCCGCCGCCGCCGTTGACTTCGATTATCCTATGAAATCCCCCAACAACTCTGTCCGCGTCGTCGGCTCCTGCAACGGCCTCGTCTGCATCGCCGTCAACGGCAGACATTTCTTCCTCTGGAACCCCTCCACGCGGATGTCCCGGAAATTGCCCGACGCCGACGACAGGATCAAGAACGGGCTGTTCGTAACCAAGTACGGATTCGGATTCGACGGCCGGGATTACAAAGTTGTCGGAATCCTCTCCGGATTCTGCGATTCCGGCAGGTCGTACGAGACTATGGTGAAAGTCTACAGCTTAAACACCAATTCTTGGACAAGAATCGATGCCGCGTTCGATGAGGGCCTGCCATTTGATGATGTAGGAAAGTTTGTTAATGGAAGCCTTCATTGGGGGAGGAGAGTTGGATTCGATTCCCGTTGGGACATTGTCTCCTTCGACTTGGCCCGCGAGTCGTCGGGAATTGTGGCGCAGCCTCGCTACGTCGAGGGCGGTTTTCTGCCGTCGTTGGGAGTGTTAATGAATTGCCTTTGTGTCGTTTGCGACTTCCCGAAAATAAGCGCAGAAGTTTGGATGATGAGAAAATATGGTGTGAGGGATTCTTGGGAGAAAGTTGTGAGTATTCCTTACATGGCGGATCCTTGGACGCCGTTGTGGCTCGGGTCAAGTGGCGAGGTACTAATGGCTTACGGATCGTGCTTCATGGTTTACGACCCGGTGGATGGCCGGTTTGTGAGTCCTACGATTGCCAACTTTGGTACATTCCTCGAAGCCAATGTTTACGTCGAAAGTCTAGTCTCACTCGCCCCTGCTTGACGGAAGAACACACTTGCATCTTTCTATGATATTTAGCGACAACTATCTTCCAACTATCGATGTTATTTTTATATGCATTGCATCGCGTAGAAAACTTGTAACTGACGACAAATTTTTCTTGAAAGTCATATGTATCCGATGATAAGTTTTTTGAAGCTCTATGGATGAAAATTCCTGTCGTGAATATGCGTAGGCCATAGCTCGTTCCCTTGGCATTGGCATTGGCATTGCGGCGGGCGACTTGTTTGTTGTCAAGTGTTGATTGCATCCGCTAGCTCCCCAGTAGCAAATAGACAAGGCAAGTTTAGGAAGTCTAAGTATTAAAAAACCAAAGGCAATACGTTTTAAGGCATCAACAATACCAAGTCCTAAGCTATCTAATCCAAATATGATCGATCTAAGCTAATTCAAAATCAAGTAAGAGGGTGAAGCCTGCTATCTGAAACGAAAAGTCGAGAGACCGAGGCCTCTAATTGACGAAGAGATATCTGTCGGAAGAAGTATTCATTCAATCGGGAGAGAAACAGCTGCAGTTGCTAAGGCATCTGCGACACGGTTTCCTTCTATATATATATATATATGAGATATTTGTCAAGTCGTGTCCCTAAACCGCAGCCGAATACACATAAGGCATCGTTTGGACAGTCCAATGGCTCGTCTCGGGGGAGATCAGGGAGATGCATGCTATCGAATCATCGCGACGCCAATTAAATTAAGTGAAGCGAAAGCAACTGTTGGTATGAAAGTATGGATATGATTCAATTGGATTGGATTGGTTACGTACGGTATGGACAACATCCTATTCCACCGGTAAGGGTTAAGAAGAATTGAAGCTGCTGCGTGTGTCACTTGATGAATTTGGGTGAAGTTAACTTGGCATGGAATATTCGGAATCTCCAAGTAGACCCGTCAAAATAGGTTAACGGGCCGATTGACCCACAATCCACCATAATTCGTAGATAGGCGGATTGTTTGCGGGCCAATCTGCGGCGGGGAGGATCAGAATTTCATCAATCCAACCCAATCTACCGGCGGGTGGCGAGCTAAGCGGGTTAGCCCACAGATTTTTTTAAAAAAAATAATATTATAAATATTTTTGTAATTAATATTTAAAAATAGCTAAAAATAGTTTTATTGTAAAATCTAAATAATAAATATTTTAAAATAAATAAAAAAATATAAAAAAACTTTTAATTCTAAATAGTATTAGTTAGTGTGTTTAAAAAAATTAATAATAAAAAATATTTTACAAATAAATAAAAAAATATAAAAAAACTTTTAATTCTAAATAGTATTAGTTAGTGTGTTTAAAAAAATTAATAATAAAAAATATTTTACAAATAAATTATAATTAATTTTATGAAACTGTAGATTCTAGAATTAAAAAATATTATCAAACAATAAAATGGAAGACGAACAAAATAAATTATGAAAAATCGAAATAAATAAAAGTGACATTGATAACAGAGTTAGAAAATAAAAGCAACGTGAAGACAATATTGATTAATTTCTTTAAGCTAATTTTATTGTCTTAACTAAAAATATATATTTTCAGTAGATTAAAAAATAATAATATATTATTTATTAAATAAAATGTCAATGATGATTTTGATATTTTTTTTTTCTCTTTGTACATTATTTATAAATTAATTGTATTTATAACAGTATATTTGTAGTTTATATAAAATAAAAATATATTTTGATATTAATATTTGATTACTTTTATTATTATTTTTTAATATGACAGTAAAAAATAATTAAAAAATATTTAGTTCATACGCGTGAGTACTAATTATTATAGTTACTTAGCCCACGGGCTAACCCGCACCACTGCGGGCTAATCCACTCTCTAAAATGTGAGTACTAATTATTATAGTTACTTAGCCCACGTGAGTTGGCCCGTTTAGGCTCGCATTTTAACGGATTTACAAAATTACAACCCAACCCTCCTAAAAAGTGAGATGGGACGGGCCAACCCGACGGCTCAATCCATTTTGACGACTCTATCTCCAAGCATGGAGAGACTCGCCTACTCTCCTCCCATAGGTGAAAGTCTGATCTTCAATCCACAAATTTTATTTATACTGTTTAACTAAAAAAAAAACAATTGTTACATTATCTTTATTCAAATTCATAACTCTATTTTCTACTTAAAAACAATATTCTTCAATTGTTCTATTTTATATATTATTTTAAACTATTTTTTATATCTACAATTAATATTATCTTTTTAAAAAAAATTAAAAAATAAATAAAAGAATTAATATACAATTTTTTTTTAAAAAAAAAAAAGAAAAAAAAAATAATAACACATCTCCAAAAATTGTGTTGCTACGGGGCAACACTATAGCATTTCCACCGACTACATTTTGTACACCAAACTCCAAATATAGAGTTCGGTTGGAGTTGCCCTGAATTTAGGTTCCCTTAAACTCTTCAATCTCTCATAAAATGCCAATAAAACTACTCTTTTAAAGGTAAAATAGGTTTTTTCTTTTCTGTTTTATTTATATCTGTGATAATTTTAGTTCCTATATTATTAAAATAATAATTTTGATTCCTTTTATTCATATTTAGGTCAGTTTAGGTCTTCAAACAACAATTTGATTCTTTATCAATAAATATAATTCAAATTTAGTCTTTAATATTATTTTTTTAAAAAAATTAATAGATATATTAGTTATATGGACCGCCATACCAATAAATTATCCTTAAAAATTGTTTCTCACAAATTATTCTATTAAACAAAAAAATGTATATGTCGTTATATTTAATACCATGCTTCTAACCACAAAAAAAAATATATAATTATTTTTTTGTTTTCTTATGCTAACAATATAATTAAGACAAACTATGTTGTTTAGAACAAATGATTTTTATATTGACTATATAAATTTGTTTAAATTTATTTTAAAAGACTTGTTTAGAAAAAAAATATTTGCGTAAACATATTTGAAAAAATAATACTATTATAAATTAATATCAATAATGAATACAAGTAATCTATAGTTTCGAATAAGCTCATAACTTTTGTATGTGACATAAGTAATAATAATTATATTTATTAATTTTTATGGAAATAATGGTTAATGACTAAAATTAAATTAGTTTTAACAAATAAGAGACCAAAATTTTTATTTAAAACATAGAAGGACTAAAATTAACGCATTAGTAAATAAAATGGACCAAAAATATATTTTACTCTATTTTTATTTTATTTTTGCCCCGTTTAGAGTGTGTTTATTTGGTTAATATTATTTGATTTTTATTACTTATATTTTTTTTAAAAAAATATCAAATAAAATAATTATTTTATGCTTTTATATTACACTAAAAATTAATTTTTTATTCAAAATATTATATTAATTCTTCTTTATATCATATCAAACATTACTCAAATTTAAAATTTTACTATTCAATTCAAAATCGAAAATTCAAACTACCAACAAAGACACCCTTGAAATTGTGGTGCTCTAGAATTCAGATCGCCATCCTAATTCGATATATTTTTTTTACTATTTTTTATTCATTCAAAGCAATTTACTTTCTATAACAATTAAAATTCATATACAACTAAAAATATACTTTAACTCATACAAAATATTTATTTTATGAGTAAATTAAATAACACTCCTTGTATTTTAAGTAAAAATGCACAAAACACTCCTTATATTTTGTGCGGCCGAAATGAAGCTTTAGTAGGCAGTCAATGCTCTACTAAACTCCTTGATAGCTCTGGCATCTCATGGTAGGCCCATGCGAAGCAATCCTTGAACTCCCGGATCAAAGCAATCATTCGTTCATTCTTTCCGTCATCCAACAAGGCGTTGACCAGTGTCGTCCGAGGGGTTGTCTCATCCCCCAGGTTGACCTCCTCCAGTAGATCTTGTGCCTCAAAAGATGGAGCAGCTCTTCGAATCGGTGACGGAATATCCTCTCTGTCTTGATCGTAATTAGGTGGATGGGAGGATGTCCCTGCTTCCTACCAGAAGGTTGGGCGGCATGATTTCCAATTTGTATGAATAGACAGCCAGACCTGCCTACCCTCGCCTCCAGATCTTGCAAAATCAGGTCGTCAGACATGATAACTACCTGAATTAATAGGCCGTGTGTCGGCCTCAACTTTAATCTCGAATCTTTTTCATGGACAGTGGGTATACATCCGGGGAATCATAAACGGCCTCTGCGGAATGCACTTTCATGGCCGGATCAGCCTCGGCCTCCATCATCTTGACTTGATCCCCGTTCCAAAATGACTTTTTGGTGTAGAGTTGAAGGGACACACTGGGTAATATGGATCCAATCCCTCCCGAGAATGGCCGAATAAGTAGGCTTCCCTTCGATGATGAAGAAAGCCATCTGGTCCGTCTTTTTTCCAACTGTCACTTTCTCCATTAAGACGCCTGTTGACGTATATGCGTTTCCAGTGAAGTCGGTCGTCCGCATGGTTGTTGGTATGAGATTGTTCCGGTTTTTTCCGATCTTCCTTAGAGTAGACAAGGTCAGGACATTAATGGACGCCCCTCTATCAACTAGAACCTTGCTAATAGTCCGCCCATCAAGATGAACGGTGAGGAACAAGGGTTTCAAATGACGTGTATTCTCGTCCGTTAATATCTGGAAGATCACTGGTTCTGGACCTTATTTTGGAATGTCAGCATCTTGTTCTGTCCAACACAATGAACCAACTTCTTCAAACAAAACATCTCCCTGGAGATAGTTGGGTTGGGCTAGAGGAGCTTCGAATTCTCGAGGTAACATACCTATCGTATTAACCTTGAGGTCTCCCTCATAGTGCGAAGGTCGTTCAAAGTCCTGGTCGGAAGTTATGATATCCAAGGTAGCCTCTGACGCTTCATCATAATCAAGGGCATCGATCATCGGCTCATCCTCAAGAATCTGGACTTCCTCGAGTACCATAGTAAAGTGAGGTTCAGTGGGGTATTCAGCCCTTGCGAAAACTCCTTTTGGCCTCTACTCCTTTCGGGTCTGAAATTAGTGACAAAGGTCCTCCCGACCAAGTTTCGGCCTTTTGGAAACATCTCCTTCCGAGTTCTGAGGCTGCTGCCCCCTGGTCTGACCTTCACGGTCATCAACCTACTGCCCCCAGCCTGGTACTCCTGGGAAAGGCGAGCGGTCAAGCGTTGTCCGTGCATTCTTCTCTTTTGAGTCTTAGTAGGAGGCCGCGTTGCCTGCTCCTTCCGGTTCCTTGTCCAGCTTCCACCGTCGGGCGCTTTCCTAGGAAGACGGGTTTGGTGTAGTGTGTTCACCACCTGATCTACGGAGATTACTCGTCAAACCTCGCCTCCCTTTTTGAAGTTTACTTCCGCGACTATGTTTGTTGGGGAAAGTCTGTACCACACTGTACTCCTCCTTAGAGGTTTGATCGACCTTCCAAGCCTTTCAAACACTTGTTTTTTAGGGCCTGCTCCCTTACCATATGTTCCAAAACTTGGATTTGACTTTCTAGCCCTGGCTGGACGCATCCCAACAATGTTTATCGGCGCCAGTAATGCTTCCATGTCTACTTTCATGTCTGGTATTTCAGCCAGCTTAAGGTGGCCTTCTTTGATGTATTTTTGGACCCTATTTTGAAAGGTGATACAATTACCAATCTAATGACCATATACTCCATGCCACATGCAAAACGATTTTCCGTTCAGCTCATCTTCGGTCGGCATTTTGTGACCTTCTTTTAGGTGGAGCTAATTGTCTTTCAGCAGATACTAAAAAATCTGCTCCGTCTTGGGGATGCCGAACGAGTAAGATATCTTCGAATTCACCTCCTTCCGTCGGGGCAGCTTAAGAGCTGGGCATGTATATGTCTTTCCCCGTGAAATTTCAGTAAAAAATGTCTCTTCCTGCTCCTCCTCGACATCGGCACCCCGTTCTTGGGCAAAAATGCAGTGATTTCCTCCCCGAAACTTCTTATTTCGGGTCGTTTGAGCCTCTTTGACGAGCTACTCGACCTTCACAGCTTTGGATGTCAGCTGCCGGAAGTCATGTTACTCTTGGAGGACTAGTTTATAACGCAGCTGATGCAATATGTTATCCATTACCATATTCACCACCTGGTTCTCTGGTATACGAACTTGACATCTACTTTCCGACCTCCTGAAGCGTTCCAAGAACTGCTCCACAGATTCATCCCCGCGCTGACGTAAATTTGTCAAATCGGAGACGGTCACCTCTGGAGGAAGGTTGTAGAAACGCTCGTTGAAGGCCCTCTCAATGTCTGCCTACATATGGATGGAATTCGGAGGTAACAAAGTGTACCACAAAAAAGATGGATATGTCAAAGACAAATAGAAGAGCTGGAGTTTAAACCAATCGTTATTCTCGTATTCTCCTCCATATTGAGCTGTAAATCAGCTAACATGTTTGATGGTGGAATGGGAATCTTCACCCGAAAAAAATGTGAATTCGGGGATTCAATCGTTGCGAGGCAACAGGTGATTCAAATAAATGTACCTGGGAAAGGCCATTGGTAGTGAGGCCTAGCTGGTAAACGGATGTGATCACCGTAAATTCTCCAAATTGCATCCTTAATAACCTGAGGATTTAGGAGTGGCGGAAGCAGCACTTCTGCCTGCCCCCTAAGCTGCTCGGGAGCTGCTTGAGCTGGCGGAGAATTGCGGGTTGCCGGCTGCGGGAAGACCTGATGAGTAGATTCCAGCGGTGGGAAACGAACCCTAAGGCCTCCCATAATTTCCCTGAATGCTGCGGTTTGCTGTGTTGGGGGATTTCTAGGGGCTTTTTGGGGAGAAAATTCAAATTTCTGTTATATTCCGGAACCAGCAGCGAACTGGCCTTCCGTGGCAGCCACCTGCCCCCAGTGTATTGGGATGTCACTGGGACAGCTCCCCCTGGTCCTCACATCATCCCAGAAGGTCCTGGAGTGAATGAGGGTGTTGGAACGCCGTTGGCCCTACCCTCAAGTATTGGCGGTCCCTTGCCCGGCCGTCGGATGTCCTTGGAGGCCTGGAACAGGGCTGGAGCACTGGGGGTGGTTCCGGTGAGTGACGAACCCGAATTCCAATATGAAGCCGATGGTATTGACCCGAAGGTCATGCCGATTCCGCCTGTCAGAGGCGGCCTGGAAGAGGCCTGCCCAACTAGTTCGCTAAAGTCTCCGAGCTTTCGGGTGTTGAACGGAGGCTCTCCAGATCCATTTTTACCAAAAATTACAACCTTACCATATTTGAGCGGCTGGGAGGTCGGATCTACCCCAAAGCTGGCTGCGAAGGTGGCGGGTGGCCAGATTTCCAGCGGATTGGAGCTGGCCATCGGGGGCTTGGCTTTTCGAGTTTAATCCTTCTGAAACAGCACAAATTCAGTTCGGATGGTGGGCTTGAACACGTTGGTAATTTACTTGGATAGTTATATGACAGAATCGTGGAGAGAAGACTGAATTTCTCCCTGAATTTGCTCCCGGAGCATGCTGGCCGAAAGCCTAACAATGGGGTCTGGCCTTCTAATAGCCGCAGAGGCCTCGTCGCGTGGGGCAGGCTCTTGCGCAGAGTGCGAACACGAGTCGCCGACAATTTCCTTGTTCTTTGACATCTCCATGGTTTTCGGCGGTGTCAGTTTTCTCTTCTGAAGTTGCATACAAAAGTCGCGAAACGTTGGTGTCCCACTATACATGCCAATTCTGTTGTCATCAAAATCGTCACCGATGGTTTAACCGGATAAGTCTATTAGAATTGATTTAATCGTAAAGTTCTCTGGCCTCTTAAAGAAAGGATTCGGGCTATCTCGCGATAAACAAATAATTAACATGATGGAAAGGAAAAAATAAATCTAATAATGCAAGGAAAAGGGCTGAAAATTAAAGAAAAAAAAAACTAGAATTTTATAAAAGAAAGCTGTAACAAATAAAAAGGTTGTTGTTGAAAGAAAAAGTTCATAGAAAATTAATACAACATAAATTAAGAAGATGAAGATCACATGATGAATGACATCTGTCTTTTGCTACCCTAATTATTCTCCAGCAACTCCAACAATCTCCCTCTTACTCGTTGAATGGATCAGACCACCTTCTCCATTGTTGCTGCTACCTTCTTGATTGCTGCCTAGACAGGGTTAATCCAATTGGGTCTTGTTGTCTCCTCCAATTGCGGAATGGGTTGGGTTGGTCCTGGGCTCTTGTTGTCTCCTCCAATTTATAATTTAGTGGATTAGAATTATATGGTAATTTTAAGTGCAAAATAAATATTAAAGAGTCAAATATAATTAAAAATAAAAAATAGATATTGCAGTGAAAATACAAAATAAAGAAAAACTGAATTTAAATTTTTAAGATAAAGATGGATTTAAATCTAAATGACTCAAAGATAAGCCTGTGCCTTGGGTGTTCCCTCTCGGTAAATGGGTCCCATTTTCATAAATCATACAAAAAATACCGTGGAAGGGGATGGCATTAAAGGTTGAAAACAGGAAGGGAAAAAGAGTAGAAAAAGTGAAATACTCGAACCCGAAAGAAGAATTGAAAGATCTGGAATGGTCAATGTTAAAATATATTTAAAATAGTAAGATTTTTGCATTATTTAGGTGATAATTTATACATCATTATAAATATGTGTACAAATTTTTATAATAGAAATTCTAAATTAAAATAAAGAATTTCGAAAATGTTTCATTGCAATCGAACTCATAATTGATTTGGGTTTACAAAAACTAACTAGGAAAAACCTATAGGAAAACATCCGTAATCTCTCATTGTACACGATAAGAGGATTCAGATTCGTAGGCAAGACAATGATGTGTGTGTGTGTGTGTGTGTATTAATCATCGTATTTCGTGAATATACACAAATTACATGTAATATTTCATCATACAAGAATCGAAGACTCATATTCAAATGTGTATCCTATTGTATTATATTCCCAAACACTACCTTTGATCCTTCACTACTTCAAAACACAAACGTTAACCCAAACAACAAATTATGTAATATTCTACAAATCGATCTGTGTGTGTGTATTTATGAAATGACTAAAATCACAAGGTAACAAAAAAAAACCCACGTGGTAAAATTAAATATAAAACCACAATATCGCGACTATCAGATCCTTCTAGAAGGCCCAGGGGACTTGGAAGTCATCCCAATCGCCGGTCGTCATCACGTCGGCGAAATTCTCCATGGGGAGCTCCGGCCAGCCGGCGCTGAGCAGCGTCGGCGCCGCCGTGTCCCAGACGCAGTTGGCCTCGCCGAAGACGGAGTCCTCGGGCGGGTCGGCTTCGAGGTAGAGCTCCGCCGATGGCTGCGGCGGGAGGTTGAGCTTGGCGCAGGTGCCGTGGAGGCGGCGGGCGGCGTCGTCGTAGGCCTGGGCGGCTTCGAGGGAGGTGTTGAAGGTGCCGAGCCAGATGCGGTTGCCGCGGTTGGGCTCGCGGATCTCGGCGACCCACTTGCCCCAGGTGCGCTGGCGGACGCCGCGGTACTTGCAGAGGGCGTTGTCCGGCCCGCCTTTGCCGCGCATGCAGCCCTTCCGGTGGTTGCGGGAGCGGCCGGCGGCGGCGGGATTTTCCGGCGGGGTTGCGAGGGTGTAGGATGACTTGGTGACCTCCATCATATAGGCAGGCCAGGTTGTGGCAAGTGGAACGGGTATTTATAGGGGGGTCGGTGACATGGGACACGTGTTAGTAAATCGGGCTACCAAGACAGGTGTCATGCTCTGAAGTTGGATCGGGTGGGGCGGGTGGGTGTGGGTCGAGCAGCGCCGTTGGTCCGCCGTTGTAGGTATGTTTTTTTAACGGATTTTTCTTTTTTCTTTTTTTCTAAATGGAGCAGTAATTAATAACGAGTTTTTTATTACTCCTGCCACCGTCTATTTATTTTTTTATTTTAATTCGTTTTATAACAAAATATTCATTTTTTTTAATAATTGTATTATCTATTTAACGTTAAAAATACCCTTTCAATATACAATATATTACACAAATATTATTACTTTTATATTATATAATACTAATAATAATAGTTTAATTTTTTACCTCTATTTCTACTACATTCCACTATTATATCAATATTTCTAAAATTTCATACAAAAAAGTAAATGAATAGATAAATATGAGACGGAGAAATATATGATAGAAAAAATTTGGGTTTAGTTATTGTACCCCAATAAATTGTGTTTTTGTGTATGGACTATTATATTTAAAATTTTTATCTTATTAATACTTTAGTTTTAAAAGTACATATCACATAATATAACCATACATAAAAGGTATTTCCTTCGTCCGTCTCTAAGGGTTACATTATCTTTTGTGCCATTGTATTTAATATTAAAAATATTAGTATTATATTTGTATAATTTTTTGTATAAATTTTCTTCTATTAGTATTATAAGACACTAATGAAAATATTTTTGTAATTTTTTTTTACTTTGTCCTATATTTGATATAATAATTAATATTCAAATATAAACACGCAAAAAATAAATAGACACTTAGAATCGGACGAACGAAGGTATTTTAATTCATTGGAGGTAAATTAAAGTAATCGAACCTGACGAATCTAACATTTGTTATCATTTCCCGGGTTTATGTGTGTATGCTTCTATTAGCGATAAAAATGGGTTTGGGCATAGATAGATCCAAATTCGATCGATTTATTTGAAATCGAGCTTAATTATTTGAGTATAAAATTGAATATAAATGAGATATTGTGTATTTTAATTGGGTTCAGATTGGGTCTAAGGTTTAAGAATGGATCGGAGCTATCCAATCTGATTAATATATCAATTATATATAATGATTCTAATTATATAATTATATTAAATATGCTCCCTCGGAAGTGTATCAGTAAAAATAATTATTATATACTAAAAATAATTATAGATTAATATTAACGTTACTAAATAGTTTAATTAAGATTTAAAAAAATTATAAAATTTAAAATTTAAATTGTGATTAAAGTGTATAATCATATTTACAAAATATGAAATGACAAGTTATATGGGATGAACGAAAATAGAAAATAGAAAATAGGGACAAATTATGTGGAACAAAAAAAGTAATATGTTTGAATAAAATATATAAATTTTAATATATATCAGGTCCGAATTCATATTTAATTTTTAGTTAATTTTTTAAAAATTATAAAATTATTGCGAATCTATCATATCCATTGGATCTTATTAAATATATTTTAGGTCATGTTCAAATATTGTTAGGTCCTAGTATAGACATGTCCCATTCGAATCTCAGATCCAATAATGTATATTCGAGTCTGCATCCGGCGAAATTCGACTCATATCCGATCCATTGTTATTCCTAATTTTTATATTTGATATTATTATTATATGTTAAAAATGAAAGTAAAAATTAAAAATTAAAAAAGGTAGTAGTTTCTCACATATTAAATACCTTCAATAGTTAACTAGCCAAAATTTAAATACCTTCAATAGTTAAAATTTTTTATATTTTATAATATTTTATATTTGTTATGTCAATATTAATTTTGAGATAAATTTTTTTTGATGACGTGGAACCCGCAGCCGCTACTCGAAAATGCGCACTCGGTAAATCCCCGGCCGGACCTAATACCAAGCAAATCAGGCCCGACGGGAAAGACACAGTAGGCGAACCATGTGTGGCAGGTGACATGAGGCGTCGGAAAAAAAATAATATAGATAGCTCTTATATTTAGTTTTGAGATAAATTTAATTGATAATAGTGTTGGTTGAGCCAAAATAGAAATCGAATCAAAATTTAGATCAATATTATCCTGTTGAACAAAAAAACAAAGTTAGTATCGATAAGATTTGATTGTTGGTCGACCCTAGCCAAAATAAAAGCAACAGCCGTGGAAGCAGAAGAGCAGGCCGATCCATTCCAGAAATTCAGTCGTTTTCTTTATTTTAATTGCTTTTCTTATTTCTTGTTATTTTTCTCTGAAAAAAAAAAAAAAATCAATTTTGGTTTTAATATAATCAAATTTTATTAATTTTAAATTTTGGTTTCAATGTAAAACACTCATCAATTTTAGTTCCATCATAAACAATTTCAATCAATTTTGATCTCACCGTTTAAAAAAACTAATGGGAATTGCTAATGTTGACGTAACGGAGGTAACATGACAGATGACCTAAAAACTACACGGACATGTACAATTAGACACGGTCATGTTGTCACACAACCATGTATATTTCAATGTAAATTATACATGGTCATATATAATTTTACACGGCCAGATACATTTCTGTTTTGATCTAAAATTTTAATTTATTATTTTTTTTTCTAAAAAATATTTTGAATTTAGAATAGTTTATATAGTTAAAATGAAAAAAAAAAATCAATAGTAATTCTAATATAGTTAAAATGTATCAATTTTAATTCAAATATAAATATTTATCGAGTATATTCTTTTGGAAGTTTTTGTTTTACTAAAAAAAAATTCTCTAAGAAATATTCAATTACACAACTATATTTTATTTTTATATATTATAGTATTAAAAATTAATTTTACATTTCAATACAATTTCAAACAATTTCAACATAGACATATATAATTGTATTTAAATAATAAATTAATTTTTGTACTACTATAATATACAAAAATAAAAAATAGATGTATAATTGAATGTTTGTAAAAGAAATTTTTTTTTATGAATAATACTTCATTCGTCCAAGTAAGAAGTATACATTTACTTTTGGCGCGAAATTTAAGAAATAATAGTATTTTAATGGTAGTGGGTAGGTAAAAGTAATGCAATGACATTTTTGCCTTTACTTTTTGTATAAAAGTAATAATGTGATGTAAAGTAAGTGTAATTGTGGAAAAAAATGAAGTATTTAATGAAATTGTTATTTTGTAATTGGAAGTCTCAAAATAGAAATATGTATACTTTCTAACGGGACGGATGAAGTAGTATTTTAGACAAAATATTTCAAAAGAATATATCTTATAAATTTTTATATATGAATTAAAATTGATATATTTTATTGATATTAGAATTACTATTGATTTTTTTTCATTTTAAGTATATCAACTATTTTAAATTGAAATATTTTTTTTAAAAAAAATATATAACAAAAAAAAATTAGACCAAAATAGAAAGGTACACGGCCGTGTAAAATTATACATGACCGTGTAACAATATGACCATGTATAATTATACACTGAAATATACACGGCCGTGTGAGAACATAGTCGTGTATAATTATACATGGCCGTGTAATTTTCAGGTCAGGTGCCACGTCACCTCCGTTACGTCCACGTCAGCAATTTCCGTTAGTTTTTTAACGGTGGGATCAAAATTGATTGAAATTATTTAAATTGAGATCAAAATTGATAAATTTTGATTATATTGGGACCAAAATTGATTTTTTAGCCACTTTGTTTCCAACACTTTTTATTGACTTTTATTGATTTTTACTTTGATCTTCTTATTGTTTATTTTATCGTTCCTCAATTTAATTCTTTCATTTATTCATTTATAGTTAGTTTTTCTCAATTTAATTTTTTCAATATCCTTTTTTAAAAAGCCGAAGAATTCATTCAAATTTTGACGGCTTAAATAAATATGCAATAAATATTTTAAACCACATAATATCATTACTAAATATAAAACAATTAAAAGATTTTTTTAAGACACACTACAATTCAAGACAACAATGAGTAAGCTAAGAGTATCATTATTAAAAATAAAAGGCAAAATAGTAAAAATTTTGAGGTAGTTTTTTGAATTTGCTGAAAACCTTTGTGGTTTTACAAAAAATTCACTTGTAGTTTTCGAAATATTGCAAAAAAATCCATATCTGAAGATAAATATAGCCAGGATACTTAGTATTATTGTAAAATAATTTAGATCCATTAATTACGCTTCATCACTTGTATATATATGTATCTATAATCTTTATGGTAAAGGAATCAAGGAAGAATATTTCCTCTACATGGTATCAGCCTTTCCGGTCTGAAACCTTGCGCTAACATCTCCTTCTTCATTGCGTTGCCGTCTTCTTCCTTGTCTACCATGGCTACCACAACGGAAACCCCTACCCTCCCTCTTTCCACCATAATTCACATGGTCCCCATCAAACTTACTTCTTCTAATTATTTGTTGTGACATGCTCAGATTCATCATCTCCTCACGAGTCAGAATTTCATGACCCTTGTTGATAGTTCCAGCCCCGTTCCTTCGGGCGACCGTCACCACTACGGAGGGTGCGACAGTGGCTAACCCAGCGTATGCTTCATGCTACGTTCGTGATCAAACCCTGAAATCATTTCTTGTCTCTACACTGACAGAGGAATCGCGATTGTGATCGGTTGCAACTCCTCCAGAGACGTCTGGCAAGCCCTAGAATCGGCCTATCGTCACGACTCTAAAGCTCGAGAATTGAGCCTTAAGGATGATCACCTTTCTTTAAAACGTGGTTTGCGGTCCGTCTCCGAGTACGGCCGCCACTACAAGTCGATCTGTGATCAACGTGGTTTTTGAGGGGCCTCGGTTCTTCTTTCTCCAGTTTCATCGCTGCCCAATTGGCCCAGGATCCGCTGCCGGACTTCCAGACCTTACTGGCCCGTGCTCAAAGCCACGAACTATTTCTAAAGACCGTGGAAGAGGCCTCATTCGTCCAGCCGGCAT